TACTTATGTGTCTTGAATTCTTATCCTATATATCACCTTGTTCTTGTTCATAAGTTAATAGATTAGATGAATATTCCATAGAATTAACATGTAAGTCAAAGCGACGTTTCATAGATTTAGCCCTATGGATATTTAACATCCTGAATTTCTTGAAAACCAAAACTAGTATGCTATCCAGGTAAATTAGTCCTTCACACAAATATACTGGTGAACTTTTCACGCTTACTCCACTGAAACATAGACCCCTAAATTAATTGTTAGATGAAGGTGTAGCGATTTCAAGCTTATCAAGAATAGATTAAGAGAGACATAGTGCAAATTAAATCGAAACTTCTAACACAGAGCCAACTGTTTCTTGAAACAACTTATGATTATCCTGCCAACTTATTATAATTCTTCTTGCGGTATATAAATTTGAACTGCCAATAATGCATGACTAGTTGATGGTTACACTGGATGAGACACAGTACATAAACTATAGTTATCAGCCATTTAAGTGATGTGCTGACACTGGTTGCAAACATGTTTCTTGTTGTTTGACCTAATATAGGAATTTAAGCCTTAATTGTTAAAAAAGATCATCATTTTAATTTCTACCAAAATATTATCAGCGTAACTGACTTGCATGTTAATTATGCAATCCTGCTTTACTACTTTTGTCAAAAATAGCACAACCCACTTTTTATATTATACAAAGGATATTTTTAAAGAACTCTTGTGATACATGTTGGCTTCTATTGTCTGCTTTTTCAATCACAACTCAGGCATATGAATGTTAAGATGTTTTGTTATTTAGCTAGAAATGCTCAGAAATTTGTTACAAATAATTTTAACAAGTAAAGTTGATTGCCTTGCGTAAATGAAATGCACTAAAAGGAGAAACAGTTATTATATGTTGAATCAGTGCTTCACAAAAAGGACGGATCTCTAGATCTAAACATAATATTATTATTTGCTTGATGTATAAAAAGCACTTTATCTTGAATTGTTTCATTAAAAATCTAATCCGGCCTTAGGTATAGACTAATAACTTGCACAAGTATTAGCCCACTGCAGATTGTCCAAAAAAGATATTTTCTTTTCATACCAAGATGATATTATATAAAAAATCAGCACCTTGCAAAATTTCTTGCAAGTAGGACAAGTTAATTTACATTGAGAACATGACAGCTTCCCAACCATTCAATTTTTCTTAAAATATAGACAGCCAATTTGGAAATGAATGCTATTTACTGACGTGCTGAACACTGATATTGAATGTTGAAACACACTTAACAGAGGGTGATCCTTAACACCAACTTTGCGCTCTCCTAGGTAAGACACAAGACCAACAATTTAATTTAGTTATGTAGATAAATATCAAACAATAATAACAAAAGGACTACAACACACATTAAATATTTGAGGATGCTGCTTTAATAACATCAAAATTCGAAGCAACAATACTACCATTTATATATTATGTGCTTGGCTAACTTGGGCAATAGAGTTCATCGACTTTAGTTTCCTCCAGTAAATTATGTTCTAATTATGGATAGACAATCTAACTTATATACTGTTGTCTGTTGTGACTTCTTAAACCTGCCAGACGATAACCATTAATAAGAAACTATAAGAGAAAAGCTACTGTATCTTAACTACAACGAACAATCGTCAGAATAGCATATAGCAGTCTTCATTACTCATAAAAGTAGTAATAATATTTTTACGAATTTTTGGCACTAACGATTAATATTCAGCACAATTCATAAATACTATCTAAATAGTGGTCCTTACAAAAATATGTATTTGCAAGTTAGTTGCAAAAGCAAGCAAAATTAAGCATCAGAATTTACTGATTTTTAATGCGTTTTTTGTTTATGGCTACAATAAATGTGAAGAAGATTTAACGGTTTGCATAATTGTCCTGGAAGCTCAATATATTCACATTGTGAGTATCAATTACTTTAAGCTACTTGTTACTCAGTTACATAACTAAATGTTATGCTTGAGTTCCTGAATTTTCTCCATCGTTAAATGCTAATTGTTAATAGTGTCCATTGTTCTACTGTATAATAAATCAATCGAACTTTGAATAACTATTGATTATTGTATTATTATAACTACTTTATGCATACTAAAAGATTTTCACACAAATGCCCCCAAATTTTTGATTAAAATATTAGGCTGAGTTATAACAACCGAAGATAGTATTATTGCTTCATTCAATTCTTCTTGTAACAAGTAATCGAAACGATATATCATGTACTAAAGATTAGACAACTGCATAATATTTTTCAAATTGGCATCCATCCTGTAATAGATGTAGTGATTTTTATGATAAATGATGTTCTTTTCTCAATGAATATTAACATCCTTACCAATTCTACATATTTCTATTGCATTAAAGGATTTTATGTATTTATCTCCCTCAAACACCTGATGTCATAGTGCTGTATGTGTAGGACTGTACAAATTTGAATCGAAACCTATTACACGAGCTCAAAAGTATATAATTTATCATGCCTTTTTTTATTATATTTTTGTGATAATTACTGAAGCTAGTAGCTAGTACGGTAAAGCGGTTTTTTAAACTAAAATACATCATTTAAGTATACTAATCTTAATTTTTTACTAGAAGAATCCTTAAGGTTTGTTTTTGCACTTAAACAAATTCTGATGGTATCAAAAAATTAATTTTTATAATTAGATATATATTTTTGTTTGTTTTTAAAACATTTATTAGATTAAAAATTTATAGAAAAAAAATGAAATCATTCATTCTGAATACCATTAAGATATATTTTAATTGTTTTAAAACCTTCTTATATTAAAAAATAATTGAAAAAGTGATAGTTTATCATTTATATTGAACACTTATTTAGACTTATTTTTCTTATATTCAATTGTTTGGAAGCATTTCTTATACTTAAAACATTCTTAGAAAAAGGTTTTTTTGGAAACATTTATTTTATTTAAAACATAATAGAAAATTGATTTATTATCATTCATACTGAAAACTTATTTAGAAATATTTTCATATGTTTTAGATACATTTCTTAAATTAAAACATTTTCATTCCTATTCATATTTGGACACATTTTACAAAATTAAAACTATCAATTGAAAAATAATGATTTTCTATTCATTAATATTGTACATTATAAATACTTATTTTAACAGATTTTGTAAGATATTAAAAAAAAAAAAATAAAATAAAAATAGCATTCTAGATCGTCAAATTCTTTCATAATATTTTAAACAGAAACTTAAATAGCCACATTTTGTAAATATTAAAAAAAATAATAGTCATGTTTTTTAAAATAGTTGAACTCTTAAAAAATTCCAATATAAAAACATAAAATAAGTATGGAAATTTTAGTGATAATCTCGGAGCTCCTTTTGTGCTTCCAGAAGTCACTAAACAGTAGCTAATTAAAGTATTATAACTAAATGATGCTATGATGTATTCAATGGCTGGTGTTTCAAGTTTAGCTTAGTGACAGGAATTGCAATTGTATTTTTTAACTTATTACAATTAAATAATCATTATAATCATTGTCAAATGTAAGGTTTATGTAATCAGAATTTCCACCACATATAATAGATTTTTTGAATACTTGTACTCAGGTATCCCAACAACTGATATATATCAAAATGAATTTCAAATTGATGCATTATCATAAAAATATATTTTTTTAAATTCGAATATATGATCAGGATAAAACTAATTTGAATAACCTGTTTATGTAAGGATGGATGATACTATTATCTTTGTTTGGAGTTGCTATATATATGATATTCTAATGATTAATTTTGGAAGACTAAATCAGATAGTAGTCCTAATATATCAATTGATATTGAAATCTGCTATTTTATTCATACTTCTTTATTTGCTCACGCTCATGTACTACAAGTGTCAAAGTTCCTTTGATTATACTTTTTGCATTTGACAGCAATAACAACTTTCAATTTTTCATATATTTGCTTTGAAGGATCAATAAAGGAAACATCACTTCATTTATATAAAAGTTAGAATAAATGTGAGTGTTTTCATATTCTGTTGATAATAATTAAAGATCAATGTGCTAACAAAACAAATTTAAATAATGAAGATTTCATATGCAAAAACTTTTTGATTCCCATGTGAACATTGTGTTTACACCAATAAAAAATTTATAAAAATCTAAGTTTAATTAAGCTAATCACCTGATATCTGTACATGCTAGCCAGAAATTGTGGATAATAATTTAATTTTGAGTTCCTTGACAGACTTAAGTTTAATTCATAATGCAGGAGAATTCTATTTTGGAATCCTTGTTAATTTGCTATATATAAACTAATTTTATTCTAAAAACTTCTCTTCAATAATTATCAATCTTTCCTACTATAATAAATACTATGATGAAGTATTTATAATATTTTCCTTTGGGCTTGACTCTATATAATAGAGTATTGTTAATCCTAACTTTTTAAATAACCTTACTTGAGTTCTGTTGAAATTTATTGCTCTGTGGCCATTGGGTTATTAATCATCTAAATTATATAAAATTAAACCTTCAAGAAATATATTTCTGCTAGTGCGCTAATGTAAGGAATTCTTTCAAAAATAATCCAAATTTATTGAATAGCATCTATTCACATAACTCCTTGCCTACATAGGTTTGTTTAATCAAAAATTAGCAAAACCCAGATGAAAAAGTTCTATCATTGTTATTATATAATATAATTGCTGTTGAATATCTGGATCATCTAAAAGTGCACTAAGCCTAATAGCTGCATAGGATATCATAATTATTATGGAGTGCTGCAGTACAATTACAAACACTGCCACAATTTGGAGTAAACTAGAGATTTTATTTTATTTAACAATTATCTTTTATAACATAATTTCTCAGCTGATATAGGTTAACCCAACTAGATCACTAGGCGTGAAATAATATATTTCATGTTATATTTTCCAATTATGTTTTATTTACTTTAGAAATGTATTTAATATTTAACTAATTATATATCTTTGGATGTCCTCTGCATTGCATATTCATATTGGAGGGGCTGGTGTAATGATTGGTGATATGTTGTGGAAACTGTATGAAGCAGAGCACAATGAAACAACTCAAAAAAATTATATTTATGAATAAGTTGATGGGAATCATCATCCACATGCATTTTTCGTTGATTTAGATGACAGAATGATACATGAAATTTAAAGGAATACATAGGTACAATTTAAGAAGAACTCATTTTTATCAGCAAAAAATGTAGAGGATGGATTAACTTATGCTCGAGGTCGATATGGTCCTGGTTTAATGATTCGTGATTAAGCATTATAATCTATTAGATAATAAATAGAAGCGATGGATCGGTTAGATGAATTCGTTATTACAAGTTCAATAAGTGGAGGAACTGGGTCAGGATTTTTTTCTTTGTTATCGGAAAGATTATATGTTGATTTTGGTAAAGTAAGATAAAATGGATTTATAATATTCCCATCTTCTGAAATGTCGAATAATGCTATTGGGATTTATAATGCTGTGTTATCGTTTAATGCTATGAATTATTATTTTGACAGTATCACAATGTTTGATAATTAGTCTATGTACAATGTTATTGATCATCAACTAAATTTAGATTTTGTTGATTATAAGCATTTAAATAATTTGGTTGCTCAAGTAATTAGTTCATACACTGGATTAAAAAGATTTAACTCTTGTGATAACCTTAAGTTTTTTTAAGATGTGTGTCCTTATCCAGATATACATTATTTAATTCCATCATATGGTAAACTGACTTTAATAAATGATTACAAGAGAAAAGAATTAGATCAAGGATAATTCATTAAATATATCACAAAAAAAGAGTAAAGACTTTATCAATGTCCTTAAAATCGTCGATCTCTCTCTACTAACTTATTACTGAGATAAAAAGAATTGAATAATTTTTATGGTAAATTCAATAGTACACTAAAAAATCTAGATCATGAATTTGGTTAAAGTACACACATTTTTTAATGTACATCCTCAAATTACTAAGTATTACCTGAACTTGCACAAATGAAACAAACTGGAACCTTCTTCTCTAATGATGGTTCAATTTATAGTAGACTTAAACTATTGGCCTAATAGTATGATAAAATATTTGAAAGACGAGCTTTTATGTTTTGGTATGTTGGCGAAGGAATGGAAGCCAAAGAGTTAGATGAAGGAATAGAGTAAGTAAAACAGTCAATGCTTAATTATAAAGAGGTTGTATGGAATAGGGATTTTAATTCGCAAGATGAGACTTACGATGATGAATATTGAGATACATTATTGTTATTCTGGTTTATATTATTTAATTAAATTTGAAAAAAAAGTAATTCTAACTAAATAATTTATTTTAATTGAATTATATATTTCATTAAAAATATTAATTCATAAAGTATAGATTAAACTTTTTTACTAATCATGAGAATTTCAATTTAACAAAAGCATAAAAAATTCATAATCCTTAAATTTCATTTCAGATTTTCCTTGATTTTATTATGCTTACAGCAATCCAAAGATGATTCTTTATATATGTAAAATCTGAATTATAATTTTGTAAATTCAGTTATAGCTAAATATTAATGATTATGATGCAATTTACAACTTCAATACCTTTTTGTAATGCCATATAGATACATCTACGAATTAGTTTTTGGAGAAGTGCTCAAACTTAGAGGTTACTTTAGAAATGAATATGCTGTATAATATAAATCCTATTCAAATTTGATCCCTTTTTAAAAAATTTAGAATGGCATTCTTTTTCCCAAAATTATCAAATACTTACTTACTGATTAAATTTGATTTTATTTTTAATTAAAGTAATAAAAATAATTTTGAAAAAAATCTCATTTAATTTTGATATATTTTTAAGATCTATTTTATAAAAGAATTCTCAAAATAAAAGAATAGTTTTGAATTAGAATTAATAACTACGACTATATAAAGTTAAATTTAATAGGACTTTTGAATATCTTGATAAAATTTAGTATTATAGATTATTCTATGATTCGTATTGGAATAGAACTAGAAGCTTAACATAAACTAAACATTCATTCAATCATTTGAACACTTCTTGAGAGAATTGTGAAGATGTTGAAATTTATTTTTTACTAATAATAATTTATCGTTTGGCATCCCTCTATGAATTCTTTAATAAGTATCTAATATTGATTTAACATTGGGAAAATCCTTCAATTACTTACTCATACTTTATTTCTTCTTAAGTAAAATTTACAGTTAAAAATTTCAAATGCTTTTCTCAATTCCTTCAATCTTCCCTTCAAATAAAGATTTATTCCTAATATTTAATTAAATTTCTTTTTGCATTATGAAAGTTTCCTACTTATCATACCTCCCTCCCTTCTCCTTTCTATTTAACTTAAACTAAGCAATTCTCTCATGTACTTGTTATTTTTCAATTTATTTAGCTTCTCCAAATTGGACAAACTTATTTACCTCCTTCACGATTCTTCTAACTGCATTTCCTCTAGTTTCTATAATTTTTCATTTTTCAAAACTAATACCTAATAACTTTAATAGCCTATCTAGATTTTGCCGAATAGTTGCTTCTTATGAGTCCTTCTTTCCCTCTACATCAGTTTGGAAGAAATGAAACTCTACCTTTTTCTTTTTCGAGTGTAAACAATTTCCATATTCTCTCTAAGCGTGAGAATCTCTACTAACTCGAGATATGTCTATGTATCGTCATCCTAACTTCTTCAAAGTAACTCTAGATACTTTTTCTCATATTCAACCATGCATTATGGTGTTTTAAATTTTTCAATTTAAAGGATTTTCGAATCAGGAAATTCTTTGTGCTTTTTCTCACTACAATCGAAATGTTCTTACAATTTATAAATGACGGTGTTTTCTCTTAATATTAATCATCATTTAGCAAATTTTCCAAATACATCTATATTTTTAAATGGATACAGCATTCCCAACTCCCAAGATTTTTGTTCTAAATATTTTTTGTGATTATATTCTACTTCTTTGACATATCCTTTACTAGATATTTTATTTCCTGCTTACATTTCTGATGAATTCATTTAAACGGATATAAAATATGAAATAATTTAAAGAAAAGCTGTAATTTGCTCCTAAAATATACTAAGTTTCCTGTCTTCCTCAGGATCATTAGTATAATATTTATTCTTTTAATTTGTATTCTAATTCTAGTTGTTTTTTCCTAATAATTCCTATTCTTTTAATTAAATATTTTAATCTTCCATCTACATCATTGTATCTAGCAATAAGATAAAATAAAATTTATTTATATCAAATTTCTGATTCAGAAACCAAATTGATCTGCATCACTATTATTATTACTATTTTCCGAAGTCTATCATCAAAGGTCACGCCATAATTTTTAACATGACTCTACAACCTAGATATCATGTCTTCTATCTTGCTAACCCATATACCATTTTTTTGAGTATTATTGACATAATGAACATAAGCTCAGAATTTTTCAAATGACTTTAATCATAATTTACCTCCAAATATAACCATCACAAACTACTTATTCATTTACAATGGAGCAGATAAGATATCTTTATGAATTCTTTCAATCTTCTGATACAGGTTAATTCAATTCTCTTCACCTAACAGACAATAATTCGTTTTTTTGTAAAGTTCTTCCTAATAAACTCAAGATTCTTTTCTATTCATCTTCTAATATTCTTCTTTTTAATTCTAAATAAAAATGAATTGGTTTATATATTCTTCCAAACTGTAATGTAGCTGATAATTTATTCTCAATCTTTCCTCAAAATTATAGTCAGTCTCCCCATCATCTTCAAATCCTAACCCAGAGATTTTTATTTAGATCAAGAATCTCTATAAAATTTCATTAACACAACCTATTCCCCATCCTTTATGCATTTAGAGTAGATATCTAAAGGAGTATTCTTTTTTTAGATATCTTTAGAGTAGAGTTTTGTATATGATTAGATATTAAATCACATATCAAAATTATTCTAATAATTCTGGTATGACTATGTGTTCCATCAGAAAATCCTATAAATCCCTTCTTTAATTTCATATCGAATTGGTCCAAGTCCCTATATAATCAAGGGTAAATAACATATTAGGATAGATTGAGAGATGCATTACTCATATTACAATTGTTTTCACCTGTAAATTACAAATAACTTTGTTTTCTTTTTCTCTGAATAACATTTTTGCAAAGGTTAGCATCAAAGGAAAGAAGGGATTAATGAATAAAATGGCAAAAATCTGGAGAATAACTATTACTTATCACATGTAAAGGTGTTAAAATCAAAGTCTCATTCTTTAATATCCATTTCTAACCGTGAAGGTAGTAAATGGAGATAGGAGTTGCATATTTGAGCCAAGATTAAAACTATAGTGAAGATGAATAAGCCCAAAAGTGAAGAGAATTCTAAATCAGATAATTTATTATAATAAAGCTAAAGCTATGGCCTGATTAGTTAACTTATCTCGAAAAATTACATAATAATTTACGCTATAATGGTCTCTTAATGGTAATATAACCTAGATACAGGATCAAATGGCAAACAGAAACAATAAAATCAAAAATAGAAGACAGGCCAACATATCATTTGACTAATAGAAAAAAAAATTCATTTCCAGCCAAATTAACATTTTATTAATATGAAATTTAGACTGTAAATTTGGTTTCTTCATACTACTATTTGATTTTTAAAATGCTTAGTTAAAAGAATCTAATATGCATTAAAATAGAATTCAATATTTATAGTTATTATCAAATTGATAATTAAGAAGGTATAAATTTTCTCTTTTTGTCAGGTGATTCTTATTCATACATCATTTGAAAATTTCGTATTGTTAAGGAATTACATGTTTTTAGCTTATCGTATTTTATATGAGATTTAAGCATTTACTTTTTTTTAGACTTAAATTAATGATCAAAAAGATTTTGACAATTGAACATATGGGCCTACTTGCTTATCACTTCTTTTATTCAAATTCAAACTAAGCTTTTCAAATTAAGGAAGCATAAATGAAAAAAGGCACCATCGATGCTAAAACTATTTTGAATATCCCATCTTAATGTATTGTGCTTAATCAAAAAGTTTAATTCCTCAACCAACAGAAAAACATTATTAAATTTAATTAAATCTGTTCCTAAAATTGTAAATCTCTTAATGTTTTCTTTGTTGAAAGATAACTTGATCCATTCATTATTTATTTAAAATCATCCAAATAAATTTCCTATTATAACAATGTTTAATCATCCATCTTTAGATGTTTATTTTGAAAGTTTTTTTCCAAATGGTGGAAATCTAGACAAAATAATTTTTTATTAAATAGATTTTCAACAAATACCCGTTTCAAATAAACTAAGTGCTCCAGTCTTTTATAGGCAAATAATTATCTTCAGTAATCCATCCCTAATTAATTGGCATTATCTGATTAAAATTATGTTTTTATTAAACATTTGATTATTCTTGATGACCTTAGATTTCTTCTCTTCTCCCATTATTCATTGAACGATGAATTGGGATAATTAGACAGTAGTACTAATATATCTACTTTCATTAAAGCAAAGATTTAAAGGAAATCATATATAGGCAAAAATATTTAAATTAAATACCTAAAAATGAACAGCTGATTATGAATGTATATTGTTTCAGAAAATAGGTAAACATTAATATCAAAATGAAAGATATTTTGTCTTTTAATTTGAAAGATAGGATATTTTACTTATGGCCTATTATGCAACTTCATTTAAAGAAACTCTCTTCTTAAGAATGGATTGTTTCAAAAACTAATTAATATATTCTTGAAATACTTTCATAATCTTTTCCTAATTTCAAACATAATCTGAAATTTATTCCATTTTAATAATTATCTGATAAGAATTTTTGTCCTAAATTTAAAAATTTCTGTGATTAAATCAACTTTTAATCACTATATATCAATATATTGTAAACTATTAAAAAAATAAATTCATTTAGTAATTTATGGAACATATTTAAAATTATGGATAATTATTCTTATTCTAAAGTAGAAGTATAAAATTCATGCGATGAAATTATTAAAGAAAAAAGAGTTAAGATACATAATAATAGATTTTGGTATTTTTTTAAATAAAAATTATGTTGAATTTTTTTCCTAATGATTACATCTCCTAAGGTTAGTTCTATAATATTAGTATCACCAATTAATAGCTCTTATATGGCAAATATAGCCGATGAAATTAAACTAATTTATAATCATTAAATATATCCAATTAAAATCTTTCTCTCTGTGGCAAAATCTGCATGTTTCGATTATTCAAAGAAGTTATATTTCTGACGATTGTGCCTGAGGAATCAGGAATACCTGTTTTCTCAAAAGTCCTCTTGAATCCCAAAGATCATACAACTACTTGCTGAAAGAATAAATGAAATACAGTTCTTGTAGGAGCAAAAATGGGTATGCACTGATAGGGTAGTAAAGGGCACTTCAGATTCTTGTGTATCTGTTGGTTTTTCCTTAATGGACTTACATTCAAGAAGGAAGATTGCATTCACCTAATCCTTCTTAAGGCTCTGGACCAAATCTTTCTTAGGCGCCCTCTTCATGAATCTAATAGGGAAGTTCTTATGTTAAATAAAAGAAACAAAGATGATATTTATTTAAAATTATAAGGTTTTCAATTATTTTATTAACAAATAGAGATCTCGTTGTTACTGTAACCTAAATCTATCTTTTTTCCGAATATAAATTTCATAAGATGTTTATATTAATTTAATTTCATCAACTTCTTCATTGTTTTTCATTTATTAGTTTTAACCTTTTACTTCTACATTTAGATATAGCTTTTAATTTATCTTCTTTTGAATCCTAATCTACCATATAATTCAATTTATAAATAAAGTGATATTGTATAATTCAATTATTTCTAAAGTTGTCAGGATATTGTCTTTTTATCCACATTAGTATTAAAAATAGTTCTATTAT